CTTTTTTAATAATGTGAACTTTTTCGCTAATTCACAACATCAAATTCTAATAAATATTTATAAGTTATTAGATGAAAAGATATAAAAATAAATTAAATCAGAATATATAGAAATACACCTTATCCAAAAACTAATAATAAATTGTTTAAAGTGATTGGATCCAAAATGAAGTTAGTTGGAGGAAGAGTAGAGCATGCATGCGTTTCTAGATGGGTTCATGTCATGCATTTTCTAGATGGGATTCATGTCTATGTCATGCCATATTTATTCAACATTTTTTTGTTATTTTATCTATTTATTTATTATTAATCTTGTTCATAAAATGGTTATAGTGTTTACAACTTTTCCTTTAATTAAGAGACATTTTAAATATTATATTATTGTTTAAATATTTTTATTACATTTATATATTAATTTGGGAAAATATGTATTTTAAACTATAAAAATATATAAACTATGTGTACAAATAGAAAAAACGTTAAGATATAAACAATCACTCGGCATATGAATGTTTATTTAACTAAAAAACAAATTTAGGGATGATGGAAAATGACCTGATATACTTATAGTGTCGGTACATATTTGTTATCTTATGAGTATATATGACACTTGTAATGTGTGTATGTGTGAGTGAGTGTGTGTGTGGCACACCATGTGGGTGCGTGGGTACATCATCTACACATACTCAAATAAGCGATTTACTCTTTAAATTTTATTTCAGACAGTCTCGATTAAAATTAAAATTCACTTGATATATGAATGATGAATACATTAGTTTTAATTACAAAATTGTCAAACGATATATTTTTTGGAGGAATTTTTGTAACCACATTATATTATGTGAAAGTATAAGCTTTATCTTGAAAAATGACATAAATGACTGATATTTTTTTTGCCAGACGTGCAAACAAGTAACAAATCCAAATTGCAATAACGATTATTGACGGATGCATAATTGATCTTAAACAAAATTCAAATCGTAAGTGAATTGGTTTCTCGTTTTAGAGTGAGAAGATGAAGATATGATTTCAAGTTTTTAAGATGTTGACTATTAAAGATGAATAAGGTTTGGTTTTACTGGTATAGGTCATACTCAATATATTAAGCTTGGTTTTAAAATTTTGCAAACAGAATCAGCCAAATTAATAAACTTCGCTAAGCTGACCAGAACTGGTTTGGTTCAGTCTATTTGGCAATTTGGATCGGGTTTTGATTTTTTTTCCCAAAATTTTCTTGATGTTCAGAAACACACATCTAACCATTAGTTTTTTTTTATTAACATGGATATTCAACCCGCTATGCGAGCCGACTAATCCCAGGACGACCACTTGCTTTGCAGATAGTCCAGAGTTACCGCATTTGAACCTCTGTGGCCACAAAAGGATTTTTATTCCTCCTTGGATTTGAACATGGGACCTACAGGTACTTTTGACCTTTGTAGCCAAGCTCAAACCAATCAGGCACTACCCTTGTGGTTAACCATTAGTTTTTTTTTTTATATAACACATTATTGTTTTTGAAAGGGTGACCCAGGCTAATCCCGACTATAAGACATCAACCATGTTAAACTTAATGGTTACAATTGTTGTGGACGTCATCGAACCCAAGACAGATAGGATATTCCACCTCATTACCTAAGCCTCAACCACTTTGTTACAATTCTTATCGTTTAGAAGACATTATTGTCTGAACACGAAAAAAAATAAAGGGTAATGAATTGGAACTCTTCTATTTTAAATACAAGGAATTGAAATAACCCTTATTAAAATTCATAATAAGTACTAATATTTGTTCGGGATTTCAATATATTATTAGTATAAACGTTTTGATCCTACCGAAATTAAGTAACTCGATTTCGAACCTTTTTAGATGCTAGCCTGTCATGGGATGTCAAGCCCGAGCGAACCGCCTAAATAGCTTCGGTTTTTTCGGTCTTGACCATGACCATTCACACTCATAGTGACAGAAGATCAAGATCCAATCAAGGTCATTTTGCAGTTTTGATTACATCAATTGGTGATTGCGGTGGTGATAGCGATGATGACAATGATGGTAGTGAATGGTGCGTTTTTCTTTTTAGTGCCATCTGGGTTTTTCTTTTTTGATGATGACTTCTTAAAATATCTCAAATAAATCATTTAAATTGGAGAAAATGAAGATTATGGACATGTTTGTTGTTCCATCAGATTCTCTAAAATGGAGAGAAGTAAGAGAGACAATGTAAAATTCTCCGAATTTGGAGAACTTCCCAATAATGATAATTTTTTTATTGTATGCTCACAAATAAACTTTGAAAATGAATGTTTTGCAGAGAGAAATTAGATTTTATTAAATGTTAGAAATATTTTAATAATATAATTAATGTTGTGATCCCGTCCCCAGTTTCTATGAATGGCCCCTGGCCCCGGTCCCCGTCAGGTACGAAGATTAGTATCATGCCTCCAATTATTTTCTGGTCAAACTTCGAACCTCGTCCCTGGTTAAGACTTAATTTTAGAAAATAAATAATAATAAAATATATTAATAAAATTATATACCAGGTACTGGGTGGATCAGGGGATACGCTACCCGGCCCTGGTTTGAGACTATCAGTTATTCATGGACCAAATGTAGAAACTACGCTAAAGTCCACGGGAGAAAGTGTAAGAATATCTCCAATAAATCTTTTAAAATAGAGAAAATGGTACTTTTGTTTCAATAAAATAGAGAAAATTAAAAAAAAAATTAGAAAATCATCTAAAACTTGATGTGTGGGGAGAGAAATGAGTTTTTTTTTTTATATATTTTCACAATTGATATTGAATTATTATTATTATTTTAGATAATTTTTTCAACTAGAATATATTAGTAATATAATAGCTGTTGAAATCTCTAAAATAGATAATCTGCTGAAGTTAAATGTAATTTCTTTTCAAAGATTTTGACTTTTAATTATTTATTTATAACGAATTATAAATAATGTGTTAGAGATGTTATAATGTAGTAGAAGAAAGGAAATATATTTGTATTTGTTCTAATCATATGGATATACTTCTAGAGTAAAATATATAGTTAATCTGTTAGAACCGCTCCCCCGACCACCCCCTTTTCCGATGATCTCTTTCACTGTAGACCACACCGCATCCTACCCTCTCCCACACTTGATTTCTTTTGATTTATGTTTTTATTGATGGGTTAATCAGCTTCTCCCCAAATCAATATCTATCGACTTTTTTTTTACCTAATTTTGGCAACCATAAATTGTGGGCTTTGTACCTCTAAACCATTGTTGCCCCTTGCTTTGTTGGACAAACAAGAAACAGATCTATCTAGGATTCATCTCATCAACCACCGCATCTTAATCAAA